CATTAGCACCTCTAGTAATATATTTACTGAGAAAAATGGTGACATGTTTAATACTTATTTTACCCGCTGTGTGTATCGTATCACTAAATTCTTGCCAGTACACAGCCCTATTGAAGACGTGGACGCTCAGACGTACCGCTTTGTTGCATCCGGTTCAGATGAACGCTGGGCTCTGCCAGGACCTGGCTGAAGGAGCGCAGCCCCGCCCGGAACCACTTCTCGGCCGTTTTYGGCCCGACCCCGAACACGCCGGTGAACAGCTGGCGGGAGACGAGACAAGGAGGCGATGAAGGAGACGAAGAGTAATCGACTCGTTTCCTGTGATTTTAAAGCTCGTTCCTGACAAACAAATGAGTGAGTCGGCTGTTTTTCATGCACTGACCTTCAGTGTTTGGTACCTTTCATCAGAGAGGATTTTCTCCACTTCAAACGAGCGGCCACATCCAAGGATCTCCTGCAGAACACAAGACTTTAAATCGTGTTTCTACCTGACTTCTGCTCCGTCAGATAAACGCCYCGAAATTGCAGCTCGTTTGAAAACCATTTCCTCTGAAATCGTCTGTTCTCCTTTTCATTTTGTTTCCAGAAATAAAGCCTTCGTCTGCAGAGAAACCTGGGATTAACAGCAGTTTAATGGCGATCAATAAAGCCTGAGGCAATGCTTTTCCTCACATTCTATTTGCTCTGAAACTGTGTTTTTTTAATTGTCTTCATTCTGAGCAGAGCGCCACTAAAACTCACTTTAACCATCTTCATTATGTGAAAATGAAAATTAGGTGTTGGTGTTGTGGTTCGAAGCAGCTTCACAGGAAGCTGTGATGGTTGATAATGTTGTTGATCGTGTCTGTCCCGTTAAAGCCTGACACGTCCTGACTCTTCATCAGGTATGGTGTTCTATGAGGGTCAAAATTAAGACTATTGCACAACCAGCGGTTGCCACATCCTTGTAGCAGGAAGCTAAAAGCTGCTATTGARCTGATTGAGGCCGGCACCGCTAACTGGGGAGACTACTTATTTGGGTTAGCATCAGATAGGCTAGCAACTAGCATGGATAAGCTGGTGTTAGCATT